TTTGATGGCTTATTTGTGAAGAACAAAATATTTTGGTACAGGAAAGATCCCCTAATTAAGACTTTTAATGTATTGGAAGGAAATTTGTATCGTTTGCAACGTCAACGCGGCGCAATATGTAGTTGGTTTTTTCCTTCTTTCTATGATTGTACATAGGCTAGGAAGTCAAATTTAGGCCTACAAGCTACAACTGTTAGTCTTTGGTGCACCACTTGGTTGTACGTTAGAAAAATATTATAATGATGGCTCACTTGTACACTAATACCTTAAATTTTAATGTATTATACTCTGTATTATTTAAAGGAAAAAGTATCAGATTGGCTACTGAACTTTTACACTTATGGCCCGTTTGGTTTACGGAATAGGCCGGGAATGGCATAGCATTCCCAGTAATAAGCCTATTCCGTTGTTTGGTAACCATTTCTATTACCAGGAATAATATTCCTGGTAATAGCCTATTACCTCAAATAAGGTAATAGCTATTACTAGGGCCCCCCCTGGTATTAGCCTATTACTGAGCGCTCAGTAATAGATTTTAGAATTTATTTCCTTTTTTACCCCTTTCTTTAACCTAATTTTTTTTATCATATATATAAATTTATCCTATTTCACCACCGTCGTCGCCGCCGCCACCATCACCGCCGCCACCACCACCACCACCATCGTCGCCGCCGCCACCATCACCGCCGCCGCCGCCACCACCACCACCATCACCGCCGCCGCCACCACCACCACCACCATCGCCGCCGCCGCCACCACCACCACCATCGCCACAACCATCACCGTCCCCACCACCGTCGCCGCCCCCACCACTGCCACCGCCGCCACCATCATTACCACCACCGCCACCGCCGCCACCACCGCCACCGCCACCGCCATCGCCATCGCCACCGCCACCAGAACCACCACACAGCAGCACCACCGCCGCCACCACCACCACCACCGCCACAACCGTCGCTGCCCCCACCACCACTGCCACAACCGTCACTGTCAACACCACCACCGCCACCACCACCACTACCACCCCAGCACCACCACCATCACCGCCACCACCACCGTCACCATCGCCACCATCACATATTTTTATAAGGGTATTTATGTCTTTTAAAACATATTTCATTTCTATTCCTTAAATCAACCAAACACTGTAATATAATTCTTAAAGTCTATTCCTTCCGCGAACCAAACAATAGAATACAAATCCTATTCTATTCCTTGCCTATTCTATTCCTTTTGGAATAGCATTCCTATTACCTCAAAATTCATTCCGTGAACCAAACGTGCTGTTAGTGTAATTGCACCATCGAACTAAAAGAATATACAATTAAATCATTAAACAAATAAAAATTATGAAAATAATATTTTTTACAAATCATTTCTAAATTTCTGGTAAAATATGATGTCATAATGTTAATCCAGTGGCAATTTCGACGGCAGGCAAATTATTTCAAGGCAGCTTCGTATTTTGGTTTGGCAATTTCAATTTTTGAGCAAATTGGGCAATAGCAATTCTCTTCGTTCTGAATTTTTGGGCAACAGCAACAAACCCTCTTTTTTTTTTTTCGTTTTCTTTCTTAAATTGCTTTCTATATTTGTTTGGTGTGAGGGTTAGTTCAATCCCATCATCCATGGCTACCACCCCCTTCATCCACAGCAAATGAACTTCTTCTGATTTTTTTTTTTTTTTAAAATGTTTTTCTTTCTTTTAATTTTTAAAAATAATTATTAAAATAATATTTATATATAATTTGACATTATGACATCATATTTAATGGAAACTTAGAAGTAATCTGTAAAAAATACTATTTGTACAATTTTTGAATTTTTAATGATTTAATTACATACTTTTTTTGTTTGATGGTTCAATTACACAAAGTGTATAAGTTTAGTGGCCTATTTTTCTGTTAAAGCGGTAATGGCCTGGTAGTAGCAATCCATCCAGTGCCGATTTTTAGATTTTTGTGGTCTTGTTCTGGTAAATAAATGAGGCCCCAACAAAATCACAATCTTTAAAACCAATACCGTATTTTTTCTAATAATAATAATAATAATAATAATAATAATAATAATAATAATAATAATAATAATAATAATGTGTTAAAATATTACTATGCGCAAAGAAAAAGCCAAAAGACATATTATGGAATAAATTATAATTATAACATTATAAAAATAATAATAATAATAATAATAATAATAATAATAATAATAATAATAGTGTGCGCAAAACTCACAATGCAAAAGGATTTTAAAAAATAGGGAAAAAACAAAAGACATATTATGAAGCACACAAGTTTCGAACCTTTGACCTTCAAATCAAAACACAATAAATAAACATTCTTACCATTTTTTCATGAAGCCTTTTAAAATTTATTGAAAGTTTTTAATTTTTATTTTTAAACTAGTTAGGTAAAAATTAAATATTAGACCTCTAAAATTTGGGGGTCCCTCTAAAATTTGCGGTAGCCCAGCTTGCACAGTCTAAAATCCGGCCCGGAATCCATCCGCCCAAATATCATTGTCACTACTTTAGCTGCTCCAATAATTTCACTATTTTTCGATCAAAAATTTTATTATTCTATCTTATATAAACCCAACTTTAAGCGAGCATTGGTATTTATATTATCATCTTAGGCACAAAATAAGTATAATCTTCAACCTCCTCAGATGTTTCAAAAAATAAAAATAAAAGGAGTTTTTTAATACATAAAATATTAGAATTCCTATCTCTTGACTTTTAGTGAAGTGTTAGTGTGATATTAAGTAACAATCAATTATAGCGTGAATTAGGACAGGCTGTTAAAATATGATGTTAAAAAAAAAATGAATTAAGCTTAATTAAAACTGAGTTAAAATTTAAAAGCATTAAACGAGAAGAGAGGGCAGAGTGAAATGCCAGCTTTATAATCAGGTCTTCTTCTAGATACAGCTTTAAGATGGTCGTCATTTTCTCACTAGCTGTCTATTTTATTGAGTTTGACTTGGAAACCAACAAATTAAAAGAGGAATGAATTTATCAGATTATAAGTTTTATCTGTTTTTGGCGTAATTATTATTAAAAAATAGTCAAAATATTAATTTTAAATCAGCATATTTTGGTGAAGGGGAGTCACAAGCGGATTCCACATTCGAGAAGCTCAGCTCAACACGCTAAGACTAAGGAATTAGATTTGTGTGCCTTTGTTTTAAGACAAAAATTTTGGTGCCACTAGATAACAAAGTCATGTACATTTAAAAATATATATTCAGTACATAAAAAAATGAATATTAAATAACCAAAAATTGATATTCAACAAAATACTAAGGGGGCGTTTGGTTCAGGTTATATAAGATAACCAAGGGAATGTGACATTTCAAAGCTCACATTCCGGTGTTTGGTTCATATTATCTCAGGGAATCTAACATTCCCAAGGAATGTCACATTCCCTCCACATAGGATTTTGAAGGGAATGTGATTCCCTTCAAAATCTTAGGTAATCTAAGATAACCTTGGTTATGTTAGTTTTATATATATATATATATATATATATATATATATATATATATATATATATATATATTTATTTATTATGTTATGTTAGTTTATAAAATAATTTTGTTTCTCAAGTTCAAGATTTTAGTTAATATTTTAAAATCATGTGATTATATATGATACCGTTATCTTATTTATTTATTTTAATTTTTAAATTTATTAAAATATATGAAAATATGTTTAAGGATATTATAGTGTGTATAAAAGATAACCCTAAACCAAACATCATTATATTACATACCCCAATTTTAACCAAACACAGGAATCTAACATTCCCAGTAATCTAACATTCCCAGCAATCTAACATTCCCTAGGTAATCTTACATTCCGTGAACCAAACGACCCCTAAAAGTAAACATTATATCAGTGATTTATCGTATAATAATTGTTATTTTTGTGATTGGAAGTGTGTAATGAAACATCCCGAATTGGGTCGCAATCGAATAGCGTAGTTTGATGCAATGTAGGCTAAAAGGAGGTGCCAAACAGCGCATATCGATTGTTTGCAGCCGATGCTTGCTTGGAAAGCCTCACTCAAACTTTCAATTCCCTAACGCAACTTCTTAATCTGCCCCAAATTATGCTACTTTCACTATTAAAAAATACTGACTTATACTTTTACGAATATATATATTTTCACCATACAATTTCAACCCCAAAAAATAGAAATTCCACTTCTAAAATAGTATATAACTCTATCAAAATTGTGATAGGAATTCTAGGTATAAGGTTTTGTGAACTTAGAGCAACATTATCACTTGGGGAGAATTTGAAGAGAATGTAAAGGTGATTATGAAAGAAAATGTGAGAGGGGAGAGAAAAAAAAAAAAAAAAACAAAAAACAAAACAAAAAAAAGAATTTAAAATTACCAAAAAATTAAAGGTTGACGGTCGCACGCGCCACCAGGCGCTCCTGCACGCCCTTCCTCCTCAGCTACGCGATACGCGTAGGGACTGTGCTGTTTTTTTTTTTCTTCCATTCTCCCACTCTTTGCAGGAGAATTCTTTTTTCTATCCTTCCATTCTCCCATCTGTTGAGATGTCTCTCCATATTATCCTCTTTTGGGGATGCTCTTAGAATTATTCCGTTAATATTGGAATAAATAAAAAATTAAAAAGTTTGCACATGTTTAACTCAATAGTTCAGTATTTGAAAAAAAAAAAAATTAATGTTCAAACTTCAACAACAATGTGAAAATTATGTCCAAAATTAACATATTTCTTATGCGTTTCGACATTTGATCACGTCTACTAATTATTAAATCACTGTGATTTATATTCCCAAATACTTTGTAGAGTGTGGAGGACCAATGAGGTTGGAAATTCAACCTTTGGAAGATGGAAATAAAAAATTAAAAATTTTGTGATAGTGTCCTAACTTTAAATTGACAAAGTAACCCTGCACCACGGAACATCATGTTTGGTATTTAAATTAGATATCATTAAAAACAAAATACCATGGTCGATGTTTGCGAAGCAAACCAAAGTAGTTTGCCATTTTATTATCCAAACAAATAAACGAATCAATAAATTACAATAACGCCCTCTATATAATACTACTAGCTTATACTTTTTCATTTTTCCTTTATTTTTTTTCCGTTTTTAAAATCTCGAGAATTCTAAACCAAAGTGGAACATGAAGTAGTGGATGGATCATACAAAGCAGGGAGCAAGTACTTTCTCCCGTTTGTACCATGCGCATTGTAGCTTGCACCAGTAGTCGGGTCGGTCAACAAGTCTCCGGCGTAACCCGGGTAAGCCCCCTTGCCGTAAATCCCGGGGCAAGCCGATGCGGCTTCCAGCGGCGCGCCGGCTTCACCCTGATAATACCCGTTTCCAAACGGGTTCGTGGCGGTCCCGGCTAAGAGGCTAGCCAAGTTGATCACCATCCCGTCCAAGCCGACGTCGTTGTTGGGCGCAATGAGGGCCGGGCTTTGCGGGCCGTAAACGGGCTGGTGGAAAGGCCACGCGCAGTAGCCAGGGCACTGAGTCTCCGAGTTCCCAACCCAGATATACGCAAACTTGTAATTCTTCCCTTTTACAAGGGCAGATTTGGAAACAGAGGACCCGTGGGTCCCACACCGGTTAACGCAGAACCCGTCGACGGTAACATCCGCGGCGGTCAAGACGACGTTGACGGCGTTTTTCCCCTCGCCCTTTCCAGCCAGGTCAACGATCTGCTTCTGGGTCAACAATTTCCCCAGCGAGTAGCTCTCGTCGAGTACCTGCCTGTTCAAAAACATCGACAAACTGTTTTTGGAGCTGGCTAAGTGGTAGTATTTCTCGGTGATCTTCCACCAGGCGGCGACGGAGGGGTGGGGTTTCGCGGCGGCGGAGAGAGAGGATACGAAATCGGCGATTATAGCTCTCTGGGCCGGCTTGAATTTGCCGTACCAGATGAGATTGACGGAGATTTTGCCGGCGAGCAATGGGCCCTTGTGGTACTGGAGAAGCTGGCCTGGCTGCTCATTTACCAAGGCTGCCAGCTTTCTAGAAGCGAAGCAGACATTGAAGAATGAGATCACAAGCAGTGACATTATGAGTAATTTCGAAGCCATTTTAGGATTCGGAAAGTTCAAAAGGTTTCTCTAGAAGACAACGTTTGAAGAGAGAGAGAGAGAGAGAGAGAGAGAGGGGGAAGAGGATTGTGATTGTGAGTTTGAGTGGTAAGGATAAGAGGAAGCTTTGCCTTTTATAGAGGGAGGGGATTTGTGAGCATTGGGCAAATAAAAATACTCCGTAGAAAAATAATTTCTACACTAGTTTCATTTTATTTTTTAAAAAAATAATAATTCACGAGCTTGGCAATCACGATTTTCTTCATTTAAAATTCTTTAAAATTTGGTGTGAGTTCGTTTCACGAATCTTTATTCATGAGACGTGTAGCATTGTATCGTGTTAATATACAAATGTAATACTTATACTAATAAATGTAATATTAATTTGAAACAAAATATTTATTACTTATAAAGAAAAATATAATATTAATTTGAAGGAAAATGTAAGACTTTTACATCAATATGTAAAAGTATTACATTTTTCTTCAAAAATATTATATTTTTTATAAGTAATAAACAGTTTATTCATGATTTAATATTACATTTGCTAGTATATAAATATTACATTTGGTTTTCAACAACAAAAAAAAAAGTATTACATTTCATCTTGACTCGACTCGTCTGACAGACATGGATCTGTGAGACGGTTTCATACAAATTTTTGTCTTAAAATTTTTATCATACTTTGTAGAAATTATAATAATTTGAACCAGCCAAGTAGCTTGACACTCAATGGCATCTTGTAACTCTTCCGGATGGGAGGTCACATGTGCGAACCCTAATGGGGACATTGGCTCTTGACTCTTTGTATTTCAATATGTTGAGAAAGTATGTATCAACATTACACATATATTACATTATAATAGAGTAATACTCATAAAAAATTTTGAACAAAAAATTTAGAGAAACAAAAATTTGAGAGTTCAAATCACACCATCATCACTTCAACCGCGTCAAACTCACGATTTTCTTGTATATTTCAACATAATGATAAATGTACAATATGTAAATAGTTTGAATATTATTAACTTTTTTTTTTTTGTTTTGAAAATAAATATTATAACTTTTAAAATGTACTTAAAATAAGATAAAAAGTAAAAGATATATTTGATAAAATAGAAATCGCAATTCTACCCACACCCGATAAGTTACCTGCATTCCCGCTCCATAATAAAATACCTGAATGATTTGAAAAATGGGTGCGAAGATGTGAAAAAATTCCTATATTCTCACAGGTATATGGGCGTGTGCGGGTGAAGTATCTCTGGGTTAATGCCTTGGGAATTCAATTGCATTAGTTTTTTTTTTTTTTTTTTTGAACTTTTATACATATGTTTTTGTTTTTTTTAATGAATTTTTATAGGTATGTTTTTGTATAATACTACATAATAAACTATAATATGTAATCATGTGTCTGGTCCTATTGATTCATTACATCTTTTATACATAGTTTTATTTTATTTTATTTTTTAAATAATAATTCACGAGCTTGGCAATCACGATTTTCTCCATTTAAAATTCTTTAAAATTTAGGTTACACTTGTGTGAGATCGTTACATGAATCTTTATTCATGGGACGGGTCGCATCATATCGTATTAATATACAAATGTAATACTTATACTAGTAAATGTAATATTAATTTGGAATAAAATGTTTATTACTTATAAAGAAAAAAATAATATTTTTGAAGAAAAATGTAAGACTTTTACATTAATATATAAAAGTATTATATTTTCCTTCAAATATATTATATTTTTTCTTATAAGTAATAAACAGTTTATTCATGATTTAATATTACATTTGCTAGTATAAGTATTATATTTAGTTTTCAAAAAAAAAAAAAAAGTATTACATTTCACATTAACTCGACCCGTCTCACAAATATGGATCCATGAAACAGTGTCACACAAATTTGTCTTAAAATTTTTATCATACTTTGTGGAAATTATAATAATTTGAACCAGCCAAGTAGCTTGACACCCAATAATGGCATCTTGTGACTCTTCCATATGGGAGGTCACATGTGTGAACTCTAATGGGGGCATTAGCTCTTGACTCTTTGTGTTTCAATACGTTAAAAAAAATATGTATAAATATTAAACATATATACTACATTATAATATATCAGTAATACTCTCAAAAAATTTTGAACCAAAAATTTAGAAGCACAAAAATTTGAGAGTTCACTTCAACCGCGTCAAAACTCACGATTTTCTTGTATATTTCAACATAATGATAAATGAACAATATGTAAATAGTTTGAATATTATTAACTCTTTTTTTTTTTTGAAAATAAATATTATAACTTTTAAAATGTACTTAAAGTAATAAAATAAGATAAAAAGTAATAGATATATATGATAAAATAGGAATGACAATTCTACCCACACCTGATAGGTTACCCGCATCCTCGCCACAATGTGTAGTAAAATATTCGCACGATTTGAGAAATGAGTGCGAAGATATGAAAAAATTTCTATATTCTCGCAGGCATGCATGGGGTTGTGTGTCGACCTGCCGGGAGGTATCTTTGGGTTAATGCCTTGAGAATTCAATTGTATTAACATCTTATTGTCTTAATATTTTTTTTTTTTTGAATTTTTATATGTATGTTTTTGTATTTTTTTTTGATGAATTTTTATAAGTATGTTTTTGTATGACACTACATAATAAACTATAATATGTAATCATGTGTCTTGTCCTATTAATAATTCTGAAAAAAAAAAACAAATGAAAAATAATTTTAAAGGAACAATTAGTTGATATCATTGTGGTTTTTAATTTGATTATTGTTCTAATTACAATATTCACTTATATATAAATAAATTACATACACGTAATATAGTATTCATTACATCTTATATTAATTATTATCGTCACAACTTATGTTAATTATAATCGCGAGTGCAAATATGAAGGGATAGGGTGGGAATGCAATGCAGGCCCCCGCCCCGTCCCGTTGCCATTCATAGTCAAAGATATAAATGAGTGGAATAAGTGAGGAAGTATTAGGGGAGGGGTTGAACGATAAACGTAATTTAACATTGACCTGCAGGTATTAGGATGGATTGGATGATGAGGGAAAATTTTAAACAGAGCGGGAGAGAGACGTTGAGTGACAGGCTGGAGGGGTGTTTGTGTTGAGATGCGTGTGCCCTCTGCTACTGCTTCTGCTTCTTGGAAATACGGACTACCCAACACAGCATCCAATGCCAAATATGTACCCAAAAACAATTAAATTGCTATTAATAAGGCCTAATATATTGTACCGTAATAGGGGTATATTTGTAATTTACTTTAAACCCAGTTATATTAAATACAAAACCAATATTAATTATATAAAAAAATCTAAATATACAGTATTTTTAAATTATTTTTTAAGGGAAAATGATATATTTGTGTCCACATTGACGATTCAGTCGCTCAGTTATGACCGTATCTATTTTTACCCTTTATGAGCGAAGTGGTGTGTTTGCTTCCCAACATTAGGTTTCCGTCTCAATCTGACAAAAAAAAAATTCAAAAAACCATCTATTATTAGAGAGGTAAAATAGAAAATTTACATCAAATTCTCTTTTTATATCAAAACCACTTTCAGAATATTATTTTCCAATTCACAACCTTCTATTTCAAGGTTCTTCAACTCCAAAAACATTTCAATAACACTCGTATGACTTGTTTGGAATCTAGATATCATATAAGGAACTTGACACTTGATAAAACAAGGAAACACTTGATCACTATCTTCAGGCGTGTGAACATACTATATTAAAAGTTTCTGATTTTCCTTACTAAGCAACAAGGGAAATCAAACCATAATTTTTGAGATAGAAGAAGATGCACTACAAGAAATTTCACATGTAAATTCTGGTTTGATTACACATGTTACTTAGTAAAGGAAATCAAAATTTTTTAGGATAGTGTGTTTCACACGCCTAAAGATGGTGATTAAGTGTTCACTTGTTTATACTGAGTCTCAAGTTCCGTATATGAGACCCCGGTTTAACAAGTTATACGAGGATTATTGAAATGTTTTTGGAGTCGAAGAACCTTAAAATAGGAGGTTGGCAAGTGAGTAGAAAATAATGTTGCAAAAGTGATTTTTAATATAAGAAGGAAAATAAGATGTGAACTCTTTACTTTACCCCTCCAATAATATGAGGGTTTTGGGCTTTCCATCAAGTTGATACGGAAGCATAATGTCAGTGCCCAAACTCGTCACTTCGCTCATAAATCATGGGTAAAGAATGATTATAGTTATAACTGAGGGACTGAGTCAGAACTTAAGTATAATTCAAGAACCAAAGATGCAATTTTTTCAAAAATTTACAATTAATTACTGATAAAAAATTACAATTTTTAATTAATTCATGAGTTAACCGGTTGAAGTTATTATGTCCTATTTTATATATCTAAATTCATGTTTGATAGAAGTTATTTACTCGTATAATTCACTTTTTATATAATATTAAATTTTGTAATAGTATATTAAAATTTATATATTTAGAAATTATATTAAAAATATGATTAAACTCAAAAAAAATAAATTTAAAAATTAATAAATAAAAATACTTAATTTAGCTATGAATAATAAATAAGTATGTAAAATGAGATGAATAAAATAAATATTCCGTAGTAATAAAAAAAAATATAATTGAATGAAAAAGATATAGGTGAGCATGCAGGTAGGGGCATAATGGTGTAAACACAAAGTACTCGTGAAGGAGGGTTTGGTCAAGTTCCAGCTGGATCGGAGGAGCAGTCCACAGCTAGCTGTTAATATTTAATCTTAGCTTTCTCAAATTGACGTTCTAGAATAGAATTAATGCTGTTTCTGTCCAATCCAATCTTTGCTAATTAAATGGTATTCATAATTACAGCCTTACAGCTAGTTAGCTCCAATTGTTTCAATTGCTGAATTTGGTATGGTCGTTGAGTATTGCTTTGGATCTACGTACCCATTATCACCAATTATATCATATGCCTGCCTATCAACTTTACCAACAGGTCGTTTGGTTGGAAGAAAGGAATTGTAATTCGGTGAGAAAAGAATAAAGTGAGAATTTAAATTACATTGTTTGGTAAAAAGAGAATAGGGTGA